AGTCAAGGTTAGTGGGACTTGGTGTGGGAGATCAGCACAACCTGCTTACTATGAAGCTTTCATCTATGGGACTTCATACACCACACAATATTTGGCAAATTTGGGCAACTAGTAATGGATTAAGGACTTAATCAGTTGGTGTATCTGTGAAAATGCACTGGCTATTCTCATGTAAAAGTGCATGGGTTTAGCGCAGGTGTTGGCAAAGTCTGGCCCAGGTATGAGCATGCAGGCAATGGATCGCAGCTCTGCCCTGGCAGGGGCGTGCAGGCAGCAGATTGTGGCTCTGCCCCAGTTCTGGACCACGCTGTTGCCACTGCAGAATCTCAGTCCTAGCTCCAGAGCAGCTTTCTGCCCAGCCAGTGCTGCTTGGGCCAGTCTCCATGGAAACCCAGGTCCCTTGCTGTCATGGTCCTGCCCCTCCTGAGGTCTCTATGGAAACCAGCCACAGCAACATAGGCAAGGGCTGTTGGGAAGTGGAGTCTGGCTAGATCCACCATTTTGCACACCTCTGGTTTAGAGCTAAAAAGTTTAATGTAGTTAAGGGGTAGTTAGATACCAAGGTGCTAGGTAGGTAGGTACTCCATAAATACAATAGGTAGTTAAAAGGCAGGCATCATTTATTTTAGAGCAACTCTGTTGTTGATTTGCAGCTTTATATACAAGATTGGTCAGGTTGGACCTTGCAGCCTGGGATTTGTTCCTGCTTCAGTTTGTGACTTAAAAGCTTTTAAATTTAAAACCTATAACACTTTTAGCTTCAGTACTGCAGAAATAAATGTTACATCTGTAACGTGTAAAAAGGGCCAAAACATCCCATCTATTTAATAGGGATGCACCGATAAAGATTTTCTTGGCCAATACCAAAAACTGATTATTAACCACCCACATCGGTCAATACTGATCCAATAGCCAATTTACAGAAATGTGGCCAGGTAGCTTGGAGAGCAGCACCCACTCCAAGCACAGCCCTGGCCCAGCTCCCATACTGAGAAAAGGTTGGCACAGCCCCTGGCCCCGAGCCCACAGTGGGCAGCCTGCCTCCACCCCATGTACAAATCTGAGGGGCACATGCCTCCCCATGACTCCCCCTGGGGTGCGTGCAGCAGCAGGGATCCATATCCCCTCCCTGGACAAGCTGCCAGTGGCTCTGCCCTGCTTCCGGCCCTGGGGTCACATTCATTGCCCTGGCTGGGCAGCCCCAGTCCCACTCCCACCCTCACTGTGGGTGCTTTGATTTGCCCCCTCCCCCATGCCCCTTCCCTCCCCCATGCCACTTCAGCCCCACAGACTTACTGGCAGGGCATTGCTCTCCAAACTCTTGGGCTGAATTCCTGGCCACATGCATGTTGCAGCTGCGCGCATGCATGCAGCATTTATTGGTGACATTATTGGCTTCCCCCACCAAAAAAAGCTGATGGTTGATAATGTTAATTTTCCTTTTATTGGTGCTGATCTAATATGTGACAGATATATCGGTTCACCTCTACTATTTAAAAGTGTATATATCTTAAGTGTACTCTTCAGTACTTAGCATTTTCTGTGGAAATGATTTGGAGGAAACATTTAGACATTTAATAGAATATATAAATGATAATATTATTTTCTGCTCACAGACTTATAATGCACTTTTCTGTGAAACAAGTGCTAAAGATGGATCGAATGTTGTAGAGGCTGTTCTTCATCTTGCTCGGTATGTAGCCATGTTTTCTCTCCTTGTGCTCTGACAAGCTTCAATTGCCTTAATGCCTTAACTACAGCCTTCTGTTTCCTCCTATCTTGCACAATCTCCTTCTATCTTGGGTGCTTACAGAAGTGGCAATTTTCACTTGATCTAGTCACAGAAATAAGTTTATAGCTTTGACCAAACAGAAGTGCATGGCTGCATGCAGCTTAAAAAATGGCCAGGTGAAAATCTGACCCTTCATTGCATGAGGTATCAGATAAAGACATTTCAAAATGCATCACCTTTTGTAACTTGTCAAGCACCTTGCCACCATTTTTAAGTGCCAGGATGCTGATCCCCTGAATGAGCTGCCTACGGGTCTGTCCCTCTTCCAGCCCCAGCCCCAGGTTCTGTTCACTGCCCTGGCTTGGCAGTGCCCCCAGCCCCTTCCTCTGCCCCCGCCCCACTCCCTTCCTCACTGTAGTGGCCTTGATCTGCACCCTCACACCCTTTCCTTTCCATAGACTTACCTGCAGGGAGCTGCTCTTCAAGCTGCCTGGCTGCATTCCTGTAAATTGGTTATTGGATCAGTTTTGGCTGATATGCCTGGTTAATAATTGGCTATCAGTATTGGCCAAGAAAATCTTTATTGGTGCACCCTTAGTTTCTAATACCAAATATTTCTTTTTATATGGGTTTGTGTGTTGTATGTGTATGTACACAATTTTTTAATATGTTCAGGATACATATAGAATATATTTTAAATGGCTGGACTACAATTAAACTGGGTCATCTGCAATTAAAAAAAAAGATATTGTAAAGAAATGTAAAATAGGATTTGTCCAAAAGCTTAAGGCTTTAGAAAAGCTTATGGTTTTACAGATACTAAAACAACATCAAAGTATTTATAAACAAAATGATCTTACTTTGAAGGTTAAACACAGATCCAGGGCTTTTTAAAAAAAAAATTCTATTGGATTGATCATAACTTTTAATGAAAATACTTTCATTTTCTCAATCTTCTCATACACTGAAGATGCATCCTGATTTGTCCACTATATGCATAATTTTGGCACAGTTATAATCACATTTTTCTATCTACTGAATGTAATTATTTGAAATGGATAAAATAATTTAGATGAAGTAAAATCATCCTATCCAGAAAACATGGTATATACCTAATAAAATATGATCTTAAGCTTGCAGTTTCCTGTATTTTCATATGACTATCATAATATGATAATATAATTGAAGGATTCCCAATATTTATTGAATTCTCAGTTCCTGTTTTACATTTATTATATAGAAATTCAAACTACAGTTAAAACAGTTTTCATTTTATGCTGTTACTTGGTATGAGGATCAAACCTCTTGACTTGAAAGGTTAATATTTGGTTATTCTCTGTTTAAGTGCGTTCAGTACTTAATAAAATAGCTTGAATAAAAATTCAAATTCCTGGAAAGAGGTAATGCTGTTTGTTCAATCAGAATAGCTGTACTTCCAATAAAAATGGGTGTTGCAGAAGCGTAGACATTTATTTTTTCCTTAAATGGCAATGCAAAGTTAATTGTTGACAAATGGAATGACTTGTTTCCAAGAATTTTCAGGAACCTGATTGCAAATACAGTAGTGTTTTGTGAAATTTAGTATTTTAGTGAATACAGCACAGTAGCATGTTGATCACCAATAGAGTACATATCTATTTGATTAAATTATGTCAAGCTTTAATTATTGATACAATTTAATCACTTCCTTAGCCTGACGAAGGGTTTTTGAACCCGAAAGCTTGCTTAATAACTATTCTCCAACTATTTTTGGTTGGTCTAATAAAAGATATCAAATTCACCCAAGGAACCTTGTCTGCCTATCAAATTAGATATGCACTTCTGTTCTTATCTTGCCTATCTCTCTTCAGTACTTTAAATAGCAAATTTAAACCATTTTTTCCTTGGTTTTCCCAAAGTTGTTTTTAGGGGAGTTTGTTAGTTGATGCTGTAGTTGAGAGTAATGCTGGATGTGCAGTACTCATTATCCAGCAATTTAGAGCTCAGAGGGGTGGCTACAAATCATTTATGCTGGGATTAATATTTCTTATTTCCAGGAAATAATCATTTTTAAATTAACATTTATATTGGGCATTTAGGCTGCTGGTAGATGTTAATTTAGTCATGTGATTGAGATCTGATGCATTTTATCCTGGATCCCAAAAATTGTGCATCCTGACATGCCAACTATGCATGCCAGGATGCACCATTTTTAGGTTCTTGGATAAAATTTATCAGATCCCATCACACACCCTGGGATTTTTAAATCCATGCTGTGCAGCAGAGCACCAGGGACCAGTCCCTGACAAGACTTGAAATGTATCAGCACAGGGGTAGTCCATTTGCTCCCCATGTCCCAGCAACTTAAAAGCCTTGCCATGTAGCTCCACATATATGTAACATTGGCCAGAGGCCTTAGACTTACAAGCCTGCATGCTACCTGTATTTAGGATTCATACTGAGTAGCACCTTATTTTGTGAGAAGTCCTGTTGATTAATGAATTCTGTTGGACTACTCAGTGTAAGCAATGAGTAGCAGAATTGTTATTTTGGGGCTCTCCAAGACATAATAATACTGAAGCAAAGTTGAAAATCATGTGTGTATCAACCAGTTAACAGTATATTTGGGCTCCTATACACATGCACGGAGCCTGCTCAATGTTCTGGGAATCCAATGATTAATTGAGTCAGCTGCAGCACGGAAATTGATGCGCTCTGGCAGCCTTCCACATCACATGTATCAGCGTCTCAGCATGTCTCCACGCTGAAAAAATGGTGGTGGGGCGCTTTGAAATAAAACATGCCCAATAAGCTTTAATTCAAAGTGCTCCGCTGCCATTTTCTCAGCGCGGGGATGTGTGGGGACACTGACAGATGTGACGTGCAGGTGCTTTTAATTAGCGTAGCTCGCTAATTAAAGTGTCCAGTGCTGCATCCCACAGCACATGTGAAAATGCCCTTTGTTGCTAACAATATGCATTATATTTCAGTAACAGATTTATATTTGAAACTGTAATACTTAGTTTCTTTAATATATGAACATCTTTGGACTGTATACCTTGCTCTACTATGTTATGGAAAAGGAAGGAAATAAGAAAAAAATTGAATGAAAAGAAAGGCAAAAGAGAAAACATCATTGAAATTAATTGTGGATACCTCAAACTGAAGTTACAGTGAATTATTTTCACATTTCAAAGGGATGTTTATCCCTTTGTGATGGTTTTCAGTGAAAAGAGAGCACAGCACTTCCTAAGCAGTTATTGCTTTCCTTCTAAAACAGAAATGTTAGAGAATTTCATTCATTTGGAATGCATTTGCTTCCATACACTAAAAATAATTTTCTTACTGTTACTGTTTGTGAATTTAAGTTAGGTAGCAGTGTGTGATAGTAGGCAGCATATTTTTATTGCTCTGTGTAATATAGTTTGAAAAGAAACACATTCATCAACCTATATGTGTGTAATTTATTTCATTCATTTCTTACAGTGAAGTGCGAAAAAGAGGTGGCAGTGAAGATGACACCAGGTCAGTAACCAGTCTATCTGGGACAGCTGTCAAAAAACCAACCCTCATGAAGAACTGCTGCCACGTTTAAATAGCAAATTCCTATTTTGGCCTAAATAATTTTATTCGTGTATTTTGAAGACTTTTTAAAGAAAAAGAACAATGAAGGATTTAAATAATGTATTCTTCTTTCTACGGATGTATATTACTATACAGAATTGGAGACCTTCAGATCCTGCCTTCTACTTATTCGTGCTGATGCACTTGCCTTGTCTCTCAGGCCCTAACTTGACCTCACTTATGCCAATGGCAGTGAAGCCAATTAGTGTAAAACTGCTGTGAGATCAGAATCAAGGCTGTTGTCTTTCCTAGGTGTCTGTGATAGCCGGTACATAGAGTACAGTATTTTTATTTAATTTGTCTAGGTATTTTGTTATAAAGTGAATAAGGTTTCATACACTTAAAATGCTATTATGCTTTGTTTAAAATCAGAGATCAAGCCACATTCCATCTTTAGTTCATCTCATCTTTCCTATTTCAGCTTATATTACCTACTTTTCTAAAACCTCAAGACATTGGAAGTTCAGGAAGTTTCATTGCAAAAATTGCAAGGCCAGATTTACCAAAACACTTGACAAGTATTTGAACTTTTCAAGTGAACCCAGTTTTGAATAATATAAGTTTTGCATCAAAACTATGTGAAATTGGTGGTTTAGAATGCATCTTTTTGAGATTTGGGGCTTAGATCTGAACCGAAGAGCAAAATTAGGTATATCCTTCATCCCCTGTCCCCTTCAATCAGACCTGAGGAAAATATCTGTCTGAATTCCTGCAAAGCAGCTTACAGACAGCTCAAAAGAGACTGTATATACTGAAATACTGTATATACAGTATATAGGAACACTGGATGGATCTTCCTTCTCTTGTGGGAGACGCAAGAATTATCTGCCTCTGCAGAAGCTTCTTCAAGGATCAGGTGAGCAAGGCGTGTGGCTGATGACACAAATGTTATCCTGTCCAGTCCTGTGAAATTTGAGCAGAAAAGCTACTCCAGGGGAGGACTGGCTTTTCAGCATATTCATTCTAACTGAAATCCCAAGGGCCATCATGGCTAGGGGAGGTTGCTGCCAAGGAGAAGGAATGTTTGCAGACCATTAGGAATTCATGATCTCTTCTGTATCTTGTGGGGATGGAGTAGGGAAGAGAAGTAAATCCTTCCCTGTCCTCAAAAGAAAAAGATGAGAGGAACTCCAGATGGCTATCCTTGAGATTTCCCTTTTCAAAGTCCCCTACTGTAAGCACAGGTTAAAAAGATGACCCAATTCTGGTTTTCTGAGAGAGCATGCTTTGAGAGTATGTAGGCTTGTAAAGATGATTTTCCTAGCAAGAAAAGGTGTGAATATAAGCTCTTTATCTCAATTCAAAATATTGCTCAGTCATTGTCACTAACTTTTACTCTTTGTTACTAACACTTCCCAGATTTTCCCATTAACAGCTATGCAGTTGGTCCAATAAATCATCCTAACAAATCCTTGCCTCTCACATAATTCCTAAACCATCATGGTTATATAACACTCCCATTAACAGCTGTCTTTCATGTAAAAAAAAACAAAACCCCCCAGCCAAAACCTGTGATCATTCTAACTGCTCTCTCACTTATCCTTGATTTCACTGACAAGGAAAGAGCAATCACTTTCTCAAATTCTGCAGGGATATTTTTAAGCAAGGAAGCTGTGTCTTGCTAAGATTCAGAAGAGAAATCTCATCAGTAGTAAAGGTATCTTTACCGGCATTAAATAGTTACAGTTTAATATTAAGGGCCCAGACTTAACAAACCCTTTTCGTACATCTTCTGTGAACATAAGGATGCACAGAATGGTAGATGGGCATGATGCATACAGCATTCCTCAATTTTGAACACCATGTGTTACACCTTCTATGGGCTGGATTAGCATTGGGTAAAATGCTTTCAGTATTTCATCCTTTTTTAAATAACTAATTCCATATCTGATAGATGGAATTATTCTTTTCTTAATTGTTGCCAGGTCTGATTCCTGTATTTTGTGAGAGGAACTTTTTTTTTTTTAAAGTGTGTGTGGCGGGTGGAGGTGCAGGGGGGGAGGGGATTCAAGACCCATACTGTAAGTAGCTGGTATGCACGTGCAGTAATTGTTTTTCCAAGTTGGTTTCATATCATAGACCCAAGTCCTACAAAGAGAATCTAGAGAGTGGATTATGACTGTTCATAGTCTGTTAGAGGTTGGCAAGCTCAGGGCTTGCCCAGCCAGCTCTCTCTGCAGGAGTAGGGTCATCAACATTTTTTTCTTTATTTTAATTGACCCCCAAATATTTATTTTTCCCCCAAAGTCTAGAGGTTAAATCTGTTGTTTAAAGGTTTGTGATCTTCATTTGTCTGAGCTCAGGTTAAACTAAGTGTGAAGAAAAAGTAGGTAAGACTCAAGGTCAAGAAAATGTCAACGTTCAAATACTAAAGAAAATAGCTGTGACAGGGAAATCCAGCAAATCTAGATCAAGGCTTCTTAAACATCTGGCAGGGGTCACCAGGGGGCACTGGCATCTATGAGACAGTGTTCATGTTAATAAGTTGGCTTGGAATGATTTTGGTTTTACATTTAGAAATGGAAACATTTGCCAATTTTATTTTAGAAAAACCTGAACAAGTTACCTTATAACGGTGGTTCTCACCTGGGGTGCTGTGGTGCTGGTGCTATTGCCACAGCCAGGGGAAAGTTGCCACAGAGCCTCTCTTTCCAGGAGGGACGTGTGGGGCCAGACAGGGAAGCAGTAGTGGCAGGAGTAGGTTCTCCTACCTGCGTGAAGTTTTGCTCCTGTCCCCTATTGGCTGGAAGTTTGGTAAACAGGAAATGCAGGCAGCAGTGCACAGGGGAACTCTGGTAGGAGGGTGCAGTCACATTTGGCTTCTGCAAAACCTGCATTAGCCTATTTATAAACTGCCAGCCAATGGGCGAGCAAGGGAAGTTAGCAGAACAAAGCTTAATGCAGATAGGAGCTCCAGGAAAGAGTTGCATGGGGCAAGTTCACCTAGCAGCACTTGCATAATTTCGGGTGGGCAAGTGGGGCTTGTGCCCTGGGTGCCACATATGGGGAAGGGTACCTTATCCTCCCATCCCTCACTCCATCTGCACAGGCAAGTGTATGTCATGCACACAAGGTATTGTGAGAATTGTAATTTTGTAGAGCAGCAGTGGAGTTTGCTGCTGCTGGGGAGAGAATGGACACCATTTTTTGCTGCTGAAATCAGCCTGCTTTTTTGCCCTCACGATATGGACTTTGGTGGCATAAAGATGGGGTGAAAGTTCCCCACCAGTAGAAGTGAACTCTACTGCCATTCTAGAGAATTACAGTCCATGACACACTACCTGTGCTGGCTGCTTGCTGCTGCTCCAGCATGCTACCTTCACTGAAGCCAGAATGGAGAGAGACGGGTGGGATAGGACTGTTCTGGGCACATTATTCCTATGTCGTGCCTTTGCCTGGCAGGGGCACCCAAGAAATTAGATAGGCAAGCTGAGACTTTACAGTGGTTCTGGGGTGCAATTCAATATAGGGAAGTTATGGAGGGGATACCTTGAATTTAAAAGGTTGAGAACCACTGCCCTATAAGGTAAATCTTCTATTCTGCTTTAAAAGGTGGTCCTGCCTACTACCCTAAATGTATGGCAGAAAATGTCTTTCAGCATGGCTTCATCTCTGTATTTGTTTTTCTTTAATGGTTTAATGTAGAATTTACAAGTGTTTATTTTATTGCACAAAGTTGTGCTATTCGCTAGTGGATATGCTACCTTAATACATATATTTATTTTAGGGAGAAAATCTTTCCACATAGTGTGTAAATAAGATTATTTTTATGCAGTTGACACAAGTATTTTCTCCTTCATTGTCTTTCCCTTTTTAATGATAACTCGTGATGCATTTCTGAGACAATAATTTTGGAGATATGCTCTTAAAATCATTTGATCACCCAAATGTTTTTGTTATAATCATTTGCCTATAAACTGTATACTAATAGCATACTAAGATAGGCTGTATTTTCTCCAACGTAAGAATACTCTAGTCATTTACTGTGTTTTAAATATGATATTGAGATGCATCATTTTTTTTTACTGACAAAAAATTCCATATTAGCCATATAAATAATGGTGATATGTTTACATAGCATTTAGTTCAAATGGATCTGAAAGCATTTCAAAAAAACCTAAGGTACCAGTCTTGGAATGAGCACCATATGGACAGACCCCTGCAGCTATGAAGAGCGCCAATGAAATAATTGTAGTTCTGTCTTAGTGCAGGAGTTTTGTTCATGGCAGTTTTCTGTACAGTCTTCTGAGGCTATACAGATTATGTATTCTAATTGAAACCACTTATGGGATTTCATGTTGAACAATACTAAACAGCATTTTAAAAGTTAAGAATGCCATATCAAACAGAAACTAGGGGGACATATAGGAGACATGTTTTTACCAAACCACCTTACTTAGGATACCAGGAATAACAACCCTTCTTCTTTCATGGTATTTCATATTACCAGTAGGGATTATAACATCATTTTACATTTCTCCTGTAATTTCAGTGCCCCCTATTATCACTCCCTAAAACTCTGAAATACACAGTGCTGTTCACTGTAACCCCTTACTGTCACTTCCTTCAGCAACATGAATTTTATTAGAGATCTCCCATTCATTTATTGACTGGATCTAATGCTGCTTAGATTTGGTAACATCCCAGCTTGCTACCTTTTCATTTCATTGCTATAAAACACTTCATGGTTAAATGGAAAATGAAGAACAAACAATGCAAGCACTTAGACTTTAGATGCAATTTGTGTTACAAAAGTTTGTAAAGAGAAAAACACTTTTAACTGAAAATGTCAGCCCTCATATGTAGATATAGTTAACCTTGTATTAGCTGTGTATAAGTGAAGTTACTGAGTGATCAAATAACCAATACAATTTCCATAAACCTAAGCTGTGCTCACTTTTTAGCAAATGTAAATTTAATTATTTAAAATAGAAATTTATTTTCATACCTGGATAGTGAGCAGCTTTAGTGAACTTTGGTTTATTATGTCAACTTTCATTGCAGAGTATATGTTAAAAGAAGAATGTCATAAGAAATAAACAGGCCTTGTAATGTAAAACAATTGTTTTTAAATGTTGATTTGTATTGTTTATATGTAGTAGCAAGAACCATGGTGTTTATGCCCTTTGCCCCTTGTCAACTACAGATTGTTGTACCCACTGTGTAATTTTGTACATATGTTTAAAAAGAACCATATATTATCTATATTACATATTGCTGTACAATAAAGTGTGCTTTAATAGCTGTTCTGTGCAATTTATTTCTTGGATGATATTTATCAAGGTCACTGGTCCCTCCTGAGCCCATCAATTCTATTTCCATTTGGGGATAGGCTTCAGTGCGAGTCCAAAGCAAATCTCAAAGTCATAGCAAGATGCTTTACCGGGTTCACCACATTCCCTGTCACTGATATGTACCAACAAACAGCTTGCATTCTAAAAGAGTGAATAATACTTTGCAATACTTGAAACCAGTGGTTCTCAACTGGGTTGCCATGAGACTCCAGGGTGTTATAAGATACTTTCAGGGGTCCTGCAGCACTACTGCTACAGAAGCCAAGTGAAACTGCCCTGCACACCTCTGTTTCCAGGAGGTGTGTGTGGAGCTGGACTGGGAAGTGGCTGCAGCAGGAGCGGGGTGTTCATGCCTGCATTAGGTTTATCCGATACAGTTCAACTCCAGGCTGTCACACTGCCACCAGGTGGAACTGTCCAGGAGATGGATGCAGGGCCAAGATGAAGAAGTGGTTGTGGCAGGAAGGGGTGCTCCGACCTGCATTCAGTTTATCCCCAGGCACATCTCCAGGACTTTCAGAATCTTTCAGCTACATGCCTAGGAGGCTCAGTTGGTTCCCAGTTCCATATATGGGGAAATGCAGGGTGCTATAAAATAGTGGTTACTCCATAGCTCAGAGGGAGCTGGTAGGGACTGGGCAGGTAAGACCCTGTATAGCAACTGTGGGGATTGGAAACAAGTTATTATTAAATAAAACATTGTGGCGTTTCCCATAATTTTAAATAGTGACACTTCATGTTGATACTAAGCATGTGCGCCTGGGTCCTGAGCCCCCACTCTGTCCTAAGCAGCAGCACTGGCTCAGGCCCCAATGTGGCCCCATTTCCCTGTAGCTCAGCCTTGTCAAAGCTATTTCCAGCTTGACCATACCATCTCCTTGTAGGTAAGCTGATACAGTACAATGAAAGCTTGATGTTTTACTTGGTAGATATTTGTAAGAACTACCAGGATCAAGTGTTTCATTATTTAGAATATTATGTATGATGGTTAGTCATGCTTGTTTTTCCAGTTTGTTTAAACAATGTGTCCACTTACTTTTTATTTTAAGCATGGTAATAAATAGTGTTTGAAATGGGGTGCCACACTTCAGAAAAATTATAGAAGGGTGCCTTGAATCTGCTCTGAATACTGAATCAAGGAGTTTTGCTTTCCCAGGGCCAAACAAATGGCAACTACCAGAGACTAGCACACTAGCACTACACCAGCAATGCTTCATATGAATTGCTGCTGTAATAACTGTTAATATCCTTTCTTGCTGCTTGCCAGCTCCCTTCTTATCTGTTGGTTTCTAATGTGCTTAAATTTGTGGTGCTGTATTTCTGTCACAGCAGAGGGCAGACTACAGGCATTGGTTAAAGGAAGAGAGGTCAAAGGAGAAAAAATGAAATGGTTAAATTGTTAGTCTTGGACAGTGGACTTTGTCAGAGACATCTTGAGTATGTCCATTCTGTGCAAGATACTTAAGCAACCTCTGCACATGTGAACTGTGGAGCCAAGAGTACTGTAGCTGCATTTAGTCTGGTTGCAGCACTGCAGTCACATAGCTGTATTGTTTAAAGTTACTGCACAGAGTTCAGGTATTTGCACAGTGCTGTCTTACACTAGAGTCTCTGGTATGTGAGTAATGTATTCACAGCTAGCTGGGGGTAT